CAGGTGGAACAAATTCTAACTCTTCTGGATTGCTCTTGCAGGGTCAGATTTCTGCTTTTACTGGGGTTCTTGATCAGAGCAGACTTTACAGCTTGAGCATCAGGTAATTTGAAGAGTCAGTATTTCTGCCTGTTTTCAGCAGCTTTTAGCTCTTCTTATGATCAGCAACTGAATTGCTGGCGTGTGGTTTGGAGCACGAATCAAAGCCACACATGGTTGCAAAGACTCCTGTTTGAACTGGGCATGACACCGCTCCTGCGCTGTTTTGTCAGATTACCACCAGCTTGCTTTTCGTACATGTAGCCGAGAGAAAGAGTAATATGTAAGGAGACTCTGAGTGCTGCCACTTCTGCAGGTTTGTTGAAGCCAAATATTTTCCTAAGAAGACTAAGGTAATTTTGTCCCCTTGATCACTAGTACTAGTCAAACCGTATTCACTGAGTTGCCTGACCTGACAGAGATACATGTAAAATAGCAGCCCAGCTTCTGTCAGACTATCTGACATCAGGTTACCGTTTACTTCTGCTTGCCTCCATGGTAATGGTCATATCCAGTTTAGTTTAATCAGCAGTTGACTATAACATGGTAGAGAGGAGCATATGTGTGTATATATAGTATCTAAGCTATATCTGGAAGTTCTTGACAGAAATAAATAAATTGAGCTAAGTAAGAGATCACACTGCTTTTGTCACTGAACCCACGCTGTTTGGAGTGCTGTTGTTTATAGTTTTTGTTTTGTTGTTTTGTTCTGTGCTGGCAAGAGAACCTTGAGAGTTGAAGTGTGAGGTACAGTTTCAGGTAGACGATACATCGCAGACTTTATTCTGCAGGACAGGTGTGTGAATGCGTTGAGAAGGAGGTCATATAGGGGTTTAATATTATTTCAGCTCTGTATGGGAATTTCTGGCTTCCTACTGAGGTGGTCAGGAGAGTAAAACAGGCACAGACAAAATGCTTTGATGTATTTGTCCCTTCAGGCACAATGCAATTGTTGCAGAATTAGAGGTTTTGCTATGAGAGTGAAAGAATTTCACTGCAGGGATTAATTGACCCTGAAAGACTCCTCCTTTACTTCATCTACCATAACCAAAAACTGACATGTCTTTGTGGAAGCAGAATATGTTCCAGAGTCTGTAGACAAAATGTTACTTTGTGAATGTTTAATAATCGTGCTGTGATAGGAGACAAACACTGGATCTGGACAACAACTGCATGAGACATTTCATATCTACCATGGAAACCGGAAAGTGCGAAAACATGTAGCTTGCTAAAGCAACAAGCCTTGCAAGATGCTTTCCATGGGCCAGCTCCATATGTTACTGGAGTGGTAGCTGTAATTTCCCCAGATAGTGCCCGTTGGACCGCCAGAGTCAAGCAGCAGCCCGTGTTCAGCAACTTCACAGGCTAAAAGCAAATAACATGAGAACTTAGTTGCATATTTATGGACACTTCTAGGAAGGGAAGAATGTAGCCAGGGAAGACGAAGTTTGGGAATTTCCTCATCAGAACTTTCCAAGATGCTCTAGTGATTTGGGAGAGCAGTTGTACTAAAAGCCAGTAAAAAATAAAGTTCAGTTGCTTAGGTGGTTTTGAAAGCTAATCCTGATTTGCTGGAGAGAAGGAAGTTAATTTTTATAAAAACCACTCAGGAAATACAGCAACTGCCGGTGCGTTTGTAAGTTTGCAGAAACTGTGTGAACGAGTGCTCGTATTTACTTCCAGGTTGCAGCTGTACAGTTTATAAGAGCTAACTCCTGCTACATCTCACTGCAAATGCCAGTTTTCTCAGTCAAAGATAGTATTCCACTGCAGTTATATCCTTGTTCTACACCTCATGAGTAGGTGCTGGTAAGATATCAACGTATCAGCCGGGGGTTGTATGTTAGAGATTTTACTGACTACTAAGTAGGAGACTTTGCTGCCATTTGAGCTGATAATCATTGGAATAAAAATTTTAAACCAATGCCAAGATATGTTTCTGTTGTGACCCAAATTTGATTAACTGCTTTCTCAGCTTTAAGCACCTGCTTAAATCCTGTTGAAGTCAAACAAAGTGTATGCGTAAGCATTCTCTCAGGCCAGGAAGAGACCAATGAACGTAGATCCCAGAGATTACTTACGACGGAAAAAATGCCCTATGTCCTGTTTTAATGTTTTATTTAATGTTTAATTACCTACTAAAGTTGTTTTATTCATCCAGTTTTCGAAGCACTTTTGGAATACACTAAACATTCTGTTCTTCAGCCTCCTACAGTGATCCTAGTTTATAAATGTCATGCGATGATTTTTCTTCTTCAGTCTCTGTCACTATTAAAAAAAAAAAAAAACACACCAAAAAAACAACGTGGTAGCAGAGGCAACAGAGAACAATCTCACCAACCAAAAATTAACATTGTTCCTGTACAACACACGTAACCCAATACCACATCAAGTGGCTAAAGAAAGGGTGTCTCCTTAATTGTTTTCAGATGAAGCACATTGTACAACCCCGAGGTTGTACAACCCCGAGGCTCCACCACTCCCCCATGAAAAGAGGTCTTTGTCTCTCAGCCTGTCGGGGGTTTTTCCACACACC